AACCAGAATGGGCTGCAAGCATCTGTGGAAGCTGTGGACTTTTGATTGGACATGGTGGACCTTTAAGTTGGGATTTAGAGAGAGAGATGAAAGAGAGAGACCAGCAAGAGAGTGACTATTGAGAGACCAGAGAGGGACCAGAGAGAGAGAAAACCATCGAGAGACTGGAGAGAGAGAGACTAGCGAGAGACATGAGTGAGTCCAGAGAGAGAGAGACGAGAGAGGGACAAGAGAGAGAGAGAGACCAGAAAGAGAGACTAGCGGGAGACCAGAGAGAGCCCAGAGAGAAAGACCAGAGAGAGAGACTAGAGAGAGACCAGAGAGAGCCCAGAGAGAGACCAGAGAGGGACCAGAGAGGGACCAGAGAGAGAGAAAACCATCGAGAGACTGGAGAGAGAGAGAGACTAGCGAGAGACCAGAGTGAGTCCAGAGAGAGAGAGACGAGAGAGGGACAAGAGAGAGAGAGACCAGAGAGAGACTAGCGGGAGACCAGAGAGAGCCCAGAGAGAGACTAGAGAGAGAGACCAGAGAGAGAGACTAGCGGGAGACCAGAGAGAGCCCAGAGAGAGACTAGAGAGAGAGACCAGAGAGAGAGACTAGAGAGAGACCAGAGAGAGCCCAGAGAGAGACCAGAGAGGGACCAGAGAGAGAGAGAACCATCGAGAGACTGGAGAGAGAGAGACTAGCGAGAGACTAGAGTGAGTCCAGAGAGAGAGAGACGAGAGAGGGACAAGAGAGAGAGAGACCAGAGAGAGACTAGCGGGAGACCAGAGAGAGCCCAGAGAGAGACTAGAGAGAGAGACCAGAGAGAGAGACTAGAGAGAGAGACTAGAGAGAGAGAGACCAGAGAGGGACAAGAGAGAGAGAGACCAGAGAGAGAGACTAGCGAGAGACTAGAGTGAGTCCAGAGAGAGAGAGACGAGAGAGGGACAAGAGAGAGAGAGACTAGAGAGAGACTAGCGAGAGAGACCAGAGAGAGAGACCAGCGAGAGAGAGAGACCGGCGAGAGACCAGAGAGAAAAACCAGAAAGAGACCAGAGAGAGAGACGAAAGAGAGATAGACCAGAAAGGGACCAGAGAGAGAGAGACCAGAGAGAGACCAGAGAAAGAGGGTTAACTGCAAAAGTGGGCAAAGTGGGGTTAAGTGTCTTGCCCAGGGACACAACAACAGCAGACATCAGTGGGAGCAGGTGACACGTGGGGGATCGAACCCATGACCAATAGGTTCAGAGACCGATGCTGCCAACTGAGCCACTGTCACCCTTTAACAATGATAATAATACAAAAAAAATATACTGATAACCCCCACTGACGTCTGCTGTCGTTGTGTCCTCGGGCAAGACACTTAACCCCACTTTGCCTGAAGCCCCCGCTGAGAGACCAGAGAGAGAGACCAGAGAGAGACCAGAGAGAGACCAGAGAGAGACCAGAGAGAGACCAGAGAGAGACCAGAGAGAGAGACCAGAGAGAGACCAGAGAGAGACCAGAGAGAGACCAGAGAGAGACCAGAGCGAGAGACCAGAGAGAGACCAGAGAGAGACCAGAGAGAGACCAGAGAGAGACCAGAGAGAGAGACCAGAGAGAGACCAGAGAGAGACCAGAGAGAGACCAGAGAGAGACCAGAGAGAGAGACCAGAGAGAGACCAGAGAGAGACCAGAGAGAGACCAGAGAGAGACCAGAGAGAGACCAGAGAGAGAGACCAGAGAGAGACCAGAGAGAGACCAGAGAGAGACCAGAGAGAGACCAGAGAGAGACCAGAGAGAGACCAGAGAGAGACCAGAGAGAGAGAGAGAGACCAGAGAGAGACCAGAGAGAGAGAGAGACCAGAGAGAGAGAGAGAGAGACCAGAGAGAGACCAGAGAGAGACCAGAGAGAGACCAGAGAGACCAGAGACCAGAGAGAGACCAGAGAGAGAGAGACCAGAGAGAGACCAGAGAGAGACCAGAGAGAGAGAGACAAGAGAGAGACCAGAGAGAGACCAGAGACCAGAGAGAGACAAGAGAGAGACCAGAGAGAGACCAGAGAGAGACAAGAGAGAGACCAGAGAGAGACCAGAGAGAGACCAGAGAGAGACAAGAGAGAGACCAGAGAGAGACCAGAGAGAGACCAGAGAGAGACCAGAGAGAGACCAGAGCGAGAGAGACCAGAGAGAGACCAGAGAGAGACCAGAGAGAGACCAGAGAGAGACCAGAGAGAGAGACCAGAGAGAGACCAGAGAGAGACCAGAGAGAGACCAGAGAGAGACCAGAGAGAGAGACCAGAGAGAGACCAGAGAGAGACCAGAGAGAGACCAGAGAGAGACCAGAGAGAGACCAGAGAGAGAGACCAGAGAGAGACCAGAGAGAGAGACCAGAGAGAGACCAGAGAGAGACCAGAGAGAGACCAGAGAGAGACCAGAGAGAGACCAGAGAGAGACCAGAGAGAGAGACCAGAGAGAGACCAGAGAGAGACCAGAGAGAGACCAGAGAGAGACCAGAGAGAGACCAGAGAGAGACCAGAGAGAGACCAGAGAGAGAGACCAGAGAGAGACCAGAGAGAGAGACCAGAGAGAGACCAGAGAGAGACCAGAGAGAGACCAGAGAGAGACCAGAGAGAGACCAGAGAGAGAGACCAGAGAGAGACCAGAGAGAGACCAGAGAGAGACCAGAGAGAGACCAGAGAGAGACCAGAGAGAGACCAAAGAGAGAGACCAAAGACAGAGACCAGAAAAAGACATTCTGACAATGTTGCACCCGGAGTAAACCTACGCAGAAACAAGAAGAACATGAAAAAACCTGTTCCCACCTGGTCCCATGCCCATGGTACACTCAGAGGAAACTGAATGAAAATAAGATGGTTTGAAATACCTTCCGCTCTCCGGTCGTCCACCATTGGGCAGGACGTGCGCACGGACACAAAGCTGCTCTCTGATTGGCTGCCTCGACTGTCCACGGCGTGCAGCGTGAACCTGGAGGAACACAAACACCATCGTCTCTGAACCCGGACATTTACACGTATTTATGGTATTAATCTTTGAACATGGTTAGAGAAGACTGTCTCACATATTCAGGAAGATTGTTCCATATTTTAGCTTCAGAAGTCACATGTTTAGACCTGAGGCTAATCACAAACACCATAACCACACATGAGGCTTTTAACTCTGTGTTTTAACTGTTTTTAAAACGCACTTTTTCACTTGTTAGTAAGGCCTAAGAAATACAATGTGTTATTACTATTATTATTAATCTGAATGTTTAGTCCAGAGTCCCAGCAGGAGGCCAGTCCCTGTGCTCCTCAGAGTCCCAGCAGGAGGCCAGTCCCTGTGCTCCTCAGAGTCCCAGCAGGAGGCCAGTCCCTGTGCTCCTCAGAGTCCCAGCAGGAGGCCAGTCCCTGTGCTCCTCAGAGTCCCAGCAGGAGGCCAGTCCCTGTGCTCCTCAGAGTCCCAGCAGGAGGTCCCTGTGCTCCTCAGAGTCCCAGCAGGAGGCCAGCTCCTCAGACTGTATTTGACTCCAGTATAATACAGAACGATGACATCACAAAATGGCAGGAACTCAGAGAGAAGGTAATTGAAAGTGAGCGGTGGAGCAGCGTGTACCGGTGCTCGGCCCGGGGCCAGTAACCTGAGAGGGTCTCTCTCAAAATGTCAAATGTTTTGTGGATGCTGTGTCAGACTTTATCTGCAGCAACAGAAAGACTTCACTGGAATAATATGGAACTGGTTATTCTGTGGAAATAACTCACTGTGGGGCTGAGGCTGTACAGAGAGAGAGAGACCAGGGAGAGACCAGGGAGAGACCAGGGAGAGACCAGGGAGAGAGACCAGAGAGACCAGAGAGAGAGACCAGGGAGAGAGACCAGGGAGAGAGACCAGGGAGAGAGACCAGGGAGAGACCAGGGAGAGAGACCAGGGAGAGAGACCAGGGAGAGTCCAGGGAGAGAGACCAGGGAGAGAGACCAGGGAGAGACCAGGGAGAGACCAGGGAGAGAGACCAGGGAGAGAGACCAGGGAGAGACCAGGGAGAGAGACCAGGGAGAGACCAGGGAGAGAGACCAGGGAGAGAGACCAGGGAGAGACCAGGCAGAGACCAGGGAGAGAGACCAGGGAGAGAGACCAGGGAGAGACCAGGGAGAGACCAGGGAGAGAGACCAGGGAGAGAGACCAGGGAGAGACCAGGGAGAGAGACCAGGGAGAGAGACCAGGGAGAGAGACCAGGGAGAGACCAGGGAGGGAGAGACCAGGGAGAAAGACCAGGGAGAGACCAGGGAGAGAGACCAGGGAGAGAGACCAGGGAGAGACACCAGGGAGAGACCAGGGAGAGAGACCAGGGAGAGAGACCAGGGAGAGAGACCAGGGAGAGACCAGGGAGAGAGACCAGGGAGAGAGACCAGGGAGAGACCAGGGAGAGACCAGGGAGAGACCAGGGAGAGACCAGGGAGAGGACCAGGGAGAGACCAGGGAGAGACCAGGGAGAGAGACCAGGGAGAGACCAGGGAGAGACCAGGGAGAGAGACCAGGGAGAGAGACCAGGGAGAGACCAGGGAGAGACCAGGGAGAGACCAGGGAGAGAGACCAGAGAGAGAGACCAGAGAGAGACCAGAGAGAGACCATAGAGAGATACAGAGAGAGACCAGAGCGAGACCAGAGAGAGACCAGAAAGAGACAAGAGAGAGACCAGAGAGAGATACAGAGAGAGACCAGAGTGAGACCAGAGAGAGACCAGAGAGAGACCATAGAGAGACCAGAGTGAGTCCAGAGTGAGTCCAGAGTGAGTCCATAGAGACATTCAGACTTTCTTCACACAAACACAGTGGGGTACTATCATCACTGTCTTGCGTTGGTCGTTTACAGAAAAGCCAAACTTCTTCTTCTTCCCTGTTTTCCACAAAGTAAATCCACTGCTGGGAAATATATCACGTTCCCAAATATGACAAAACTGAGCTTTCAGCAGCATTTCTACAGTTACACAACCAAAAAAAAACAACAAAATGACCAGAAACAAACCGCAGGAACTCCGAGAAAATGTTGGCGACTCAGCGGGAATTCCTCGAACATGACTCAGCAACAAATGTCAGCAGTGTGTTGGTGCAGGAGGAGGCGGTGGAGGAGGAGGTGGAGGCGGAGGAGGGGGTGGGGTGGAGGAGGCGCAGGAAGTGGAAGAGGCAGAGGGGGCGAGGAGCGGGAGGGGGTGGAGGATGCGCAGGAGATGGAGGAGGCGCAGGAGGAGGAGGGGGAGGGGGTGGAGGAGGAGAGGGAGGAGGTGGAGGAAGCAGAGCATGGGGAGGAGGTGGAGGCGGACGAGGCGGTGGAGGAGATGGAGGAGGGGGAGGAGGTGGAGGAGGAGAGGAGCGGGAGGGGGTGGAGGAGGCGCAGGAGGTAGAGGAGGCGCAGGAGGAGGAGGAGGGGGTGGAGGAGGAGAGGGAGGAGGCGGAGGAACGGGAGGAGGTGGAGGAAGCAGAGCATGGGGAGGAGGTGGAGGCGGAAGAGGAGGCGGACGAGGAGGTGGAGGAGGCGGAGGAGGTGGAGGAGGGGGTGGAGGAGGTGGTGGTGGAGGTGGTGGAGGCGGTGGTGGAGGAGGTGGCGGAGGAGGTGGAGGCGGAGGAGGTGGTGGTGGAGGAGGCGGAGGAGGTGGAGGAGGTGGTGGTGGAGGAGGCGGAGGAGGTGGAGGAGGTGGTGGTGGAGGAGGCGGAGGAGGTGGTGGCGGAGGAGGTGGAGGAGGCGGTGGAGGAGGTGGAGGAGGGGGTGGAGGAGGTGGTGGTGGAGGTGGTGGTGGAGGTGGTGGAGGCGGTGGTGGAGGAGGTGGCGGAGGAGGTGGAGGCGGAGGAGGTGGTGGTGGAGGAGGCGGAGGAGGTGGAGGAGGTGGTGGTGGAGGAGGCGGAGGAGGTGGAGGAGGTGGTGGCGGAGGAGGGGTGGCGGAGGCGGTGGCGGAGGAGGTGGCGGTGGCGGAGGTGGAGGAGGTGGAGGAGGTGGAGGAGGCGGAGGAGGCGGAGGAGGTGGAGGAGGTGGAGGAGGCGGAGGAGGTGGAGGAGGCGGAGGAGGTGGAGGAGGTGGAGGAGGTGGAGGAGGTGGAGGAGGCGAGGTTGTTGAGAATGGACTTGGGGCTGAGTGGACATTGTTCACATATTTGTCCAGTGTTTTTGTGCCTCGCTGTGGTCTTCCTCCAGAGACAGAAGAGAGACTCGGGCCTGGTCTGGATCAGAGCTGAAGGAATTTAACCATGTTTTTAGTGGTAGGGGAACCCGGAGCACCCGGAGGAAACCTACACAGACACAGGTAGAACATGAAAACTCCACTCAGAAAGACCCTGTTCTGACCGGCTAACCACTCAGCCAGTCTGTGCCATCAGCCCCTCCCACCACCACCAACCATTCACACACACACCAGACTCATGCTAATGTGGGGGAAGTGTCTTGCCCAAGGACACAGCCGCAGCCGCTCCACTGTGGCACCTGCTGTTCCCAGAGGTCTCCCATCACAGCACTCACCAGTTCCTGCCCTGCTTAGCTTCAGAGGAATGACAGTTACGACACACTACTACGACTACAGCCACAGACAAAGTTATGAAGAGACCGAACATGAAGCAGCAGTACCTATGCTTCCAAATTGACCCGACTGATGCTAACGTCGCTAACCATCGCAGAATTATCCCTGTGCTCCGAGAAAATGATGTCACACTTTTCTTTTTGCCAGCGGTAGTTTCCTCAACCTCTAAATCATCTTCCATTTGTGTAGAAATGTGCACGCAGCAGAAAGGCCTGATGGGAAATGACAGATTAATGCCTGTTTGAAACGACAGGGTTAGCATTAAAGCTAGCATCGTCCGCTAATGGAATGAGACGGGGGCGGGGCCAACGCTGCAGGCTGGAGAGGCGGAGTGAGACGGGATCACTTGGGGCCAGGATTTAGGGACTGGTTTCCATGACTACGGCGTTCACACAACACGGATGTGAAGTGAGTTTGAAGACATACGACAAAGCCACACGGACTGGACCAGGACTGGACCAGACTGAAGCAGGACTGGACCAAGACTGAACCAAGACTGAAGCAGGACTGGACCAAGACTGAACCAAGACTGAAGCAGGACTGGACCAAGACTGAAGCAGGACTGGACCAAGACTGAACCAAGACTGAAGCAGGACTGGACCAAGACTGAACCAAGACTGAAGCAGGACTGGACCAAGACTGAAGCAGGACTGGACCAAGACTGAAGCAGGACTGGACCAAGACTGAAGCAGGACTGGACCAAAACTGAACCAAGACTGAAGCAGGACTGGACCAAGACTGAACCAAGACCGAAGCAGGACTGGACCAAGACTGAACCAAGACTGGACCAGGACTGGACCAAGACTGAACCAAGACTGAAGCAGGACTGGACCAGGACTGGACGAAGACTGAACCAAGACTGGACCAGGACTGGACCAAGACTGAACCAAGACTGAAGCAGGACTGGACCAGGACTGGACCAAGACTGAACCAAGACTGAAGCAGTACTGGACCAAGACTGAACCAAGACTGAAGCAGGACTGGACCAAGACTGAAGCAGGACTGGACCAAGACTGAAGCAGGACTGGACCAAGACTGAAGCAGGACTGGACCAAAACTGAACCAAGACTGAAGCAGGACTGGACCAAGACTGAACCAAGACTGAAGCAGGACTGGACCAAGACTGAACCAAGACTGGACCAGGACTGGACCAAGACTGAACCAAGACTGAAGCAGGACTGGACCAGGACTGGACCAAGACTGAACCAAGACTGAAGCAGTACTGGACCAAGACTGAACCAAGACTGAAGCAGGACTGGACCAAGACTGAACCAAGCAGGACTGAGGTGGATCAGGACTAAAGCAAGGACTGGACAGCTTCAGTCCTGGGTCTACAGCTTCAGTCCTGGGTCTACAGCTTCAGTCCTGGGTCTACAGCCTCAGTCCTGGATCTACTGCCTCAGTCCTGGGTCTACAGCCTCAGTCCTGGATCTACAGCCTCAGTCCTGGGTCTACAGCCTCAGTCCTGGATCTACAGCCTCAGTCCTGGATCTACAGCCTCAGTCCTGGGTCTACAGCCTCAGTCCTGGGTCTACAGCCTCAGTCCTGGGTCTACAGCCTCAGTCCTGGGTCTACAGCCTCAGTCCTGGATCTACAGCCTCAGTCCTGGATCTACAGCCTCAGTCCTGGATCTACAGCCTCAGTCCTGGATCTACAGCCTCACTCCTGGATCTACAGCCTCAGTCCTGGGTCTACAGCCTCAGTCCTGGGTCTACAGCCTCAGTCCTGGGTCTACAGCCTCAGTTCTGGGTCTACAGCCTCAGTCCTGGGTCTACAGCCTCAGTCCTGGGTCTACAGCCTCAGTTCTGGGTCTACAGCCTCAGTCCTGGGTCTACAGCCTCAGTCCTGGGTCTACAGCCTCAGTCCTGGGTCTACAGCCTCAGTCCTGGGTCTACAGCCTCAGCCCTGGGTCTACAGCCTCAGTCCTGGGTCTACAGCCTCAGTCCTGGGTCTACAGCCTCAGTCCTGGGTCTACAGCCTCAGTCCTGGGTCTACAGCCTCAGTCCTGGGTCTACAGCCTCAGTCCTGGGTCTACAGCCTCAGTCCTGGGTCTACAGCCTCAGTCCTGGGTCTACAGCCTCAGTCATGGGTCTACAGTCTCAGTTCTGGCTCAGAATGTGGACTTAGAGGTTCACATGACATTGAAATCCAGCAGATCAGACTTGGATCCAGCCGCTGCATCACTGACTTTATCTCCCGGCAACAACCGCAGAGAAGCAACACAACAAACACACACACACACGACAACTGAATGCACTGGCGGGGCACGTGGAGGGGCAGAAGTGCAGGAGAAGCAAAGACAGAGAGCATTATGGACCTGACCCGAACAGAGACTGCAGGGGTCTCCAAACTTTTCCACCTTTTTGGTATTGGTAAAAGTCTAAGTCCTGGACCTACAATCAGTCCTTCTCTCACTGGTTTTTTCTAGGGTCTAAGGCAGGGGTGTCCAAACATTTTAGTAAGAGTCCATTTTAGTTCACCAGACTAGTCTAGGGGCCGACGTCACGGACTGAAAAACTGTTTTGACTGGTATTGGGCTAGCCTGGTCTTACCACACCATAGTACTAATTACATGTCGTACTAAGGTCTGGATTGTCTCCATTGACTCCGTGAACAGGTGGGAGGGGCTAACTCCTTTTGCAGATTGAAACCATTGGATCTGAGTTTACTGTGACGTATGTAATGAGCCCGAGTGTGTCGTTAGCATTTAGCCTAGCTTTAGCCATCTCCTTTCCCGCTAACGGAGCCCGTGGGGAGTAGCGCCACATGTTTTCCAGCGATTACATTTGCTAAACATTCCTCTTGCTCCGGCTTCAGTTTCTTGATAGAACCAGACCGGATTACTTTACTATCGCATTCTTCGCCAAACTACAACCTGCCCGTTCAGCGTAAACTCTTGACGTCACCGGCACCGACCTACAACACCCGCCTCCCGCGCTCTCTGATTGGCCGGTCCAAATACGACCGATTGTATTCGCTAACACAGGCACCAGACCCAGACGCTACACACTGTGAAATGATGATTGAGCGGAGAGTACGGATGGCTATGGCCAGGATATTATTGGGCTGTTCTGAGCTTTAAAATGATCTATAACAGAGCTGAAGTTGGCTGAATGACACATGTTTACCATCTCACCAGCGACATTAGCATCATTAAGGGAAGTTTGTGACACATTCAAAAACCACGTCTGTACAATTTATACAAATAAAGTCAACGGCTGAATTCTAGACGTACTGGGATTTAGAGCAAGGTCTATATTGGCTGAGCTGAAGTTGGATGGATGACACAGGGGTGTTTATCATCTCAAAGACTACTATGGGTTAGCGAGGCAGAGGGCCACATAAGACGACACTGAGGGCCACAATTGGTCCACGGGCCTTGGTTTGGACAGGCCTGGTCTATGGAGGGTGGTCTTGATTCTCTGATCAGTTGGACTACAATCATGGACTACAATCATGGAGGACACACATGCACAATACTCAGTCAGTCCCTACAGAATCTCGTGATGTCGCAAGATATTAACACAAATAAAACTCCACGAAATCAGTGCGACTTTACACAAACAAATAAGTCGTATGTGGCAGTTTTAGGTTCTGTTGTTGCGGACAGCGCCGTGTTGGAGCTCGGTCCGTCTGTGTTTGTGGTCCGGGTGGAAACAGGTGAGACAAGCTGCAGATCCACTTTCAGACGAACAGCGGAGACATGTGAGGCAGAAATACTTTGCATTTGCTTCAAAAACATCAGCAAAGGACCGAGCAAAGCAGAGTCCAGAGAGACTTCATGACAGCGGGAAACTTTATCTCGTCAATAACGTCGTCTTTTTGGTAAATTATCTTGTTTACTTTATTTGTGCGTCTATATTTAAAAAAACAAAATAAGACTTTATTGTTCGGAATGTTTTACACTGGGGAAAAAATTGCTAAAATGTCCCACAAAAATTAAGCATTTTATAAAAATCACAGCTGTTGTATTGTATTGCTTAATTTTTTTTTGGTTTTTTTTGTTTTGTCTTTACCGGGACTCCAGGGAGATTAGCATTGGTGGAAGCTAACAGGGATCCACAATAAATAATAAACAATTGCTCTTTGGCATCACCCAAAACACTCTCATCCTCAGTGTTTTAGCCGTGGCACAGAAATCTATTGACACGAGAGATTTAATCAGGCCGTGGAAATATCTGGAAACACCAACATTACAGAGATCTCCCGAGCCTTGGTCTAAGTCTCAGTAGTCTCCAGACCACAGGATCTGGTCACGGACCCGAGGACGCTGTCTCTGTGACTTTGTGGATATATAACGGGACCAGGTTGAACTCGGGCCGTCCCAGAACCGTTTAATCCACAGGAGGTGATTTAAATGTGCGTCGCCGTCTGAAGGTTGAAGATGCCATAAAGACGTAAATGATGAGGAGGAGAAGTATGTTGGCAAAAACAGATGCTGCGAAAGAGAAAAAGGTTAAACCACGAAGCTGCCAAAAATAGAAGTAATTAGACGAGCAATCAGGACGAAACGTGGAAATCTGGGCTGACTCAGCACTTTTATAACCTTTGGGATTTCAACAGGACTGAGAGTGATGTAGAGAGACCAGGACTGGACCGGGACTGAGGCGGGACTGAAGCAGAACTGGATCTACAGCCTCAGTCCTGGATCTACAGCCTCAGTCCTGGGTCTACAGCCTCAGTCCTGGATCTACAGCCTCAGTCCTGGGTCTACAGCCTCAGTCCTGGGTCTACAGCCTCAGTCCTGGGTCTACAGCCTCAGTCCTGGGTCTACAGCCTCAGTCCTGGGTCTACAGCCTCAGTCCTGGGTCTACAGCCTCAGTCCTGGGTCTACAGCCTCAGTCCTGGGTCTACAGCCTCAGTCCTGGGTCTACAGCCTCAGTCCTGGGTCTAAAATGTCTGTCTCTCTCTTCTTTTCTCCAATAGAAAAGTAATTGTTAAAAACACCAGATCTAAAGCGTTTTTGCAGAAAGTCGCCCGCGCTGGACAACAAACCCTCAGGTGGTTTCTTTGTGGCGGCGCGGCCTCGGAGCAGCTCGGTCTGACGTGGGAAGACCTTGGACCGAGCGTGACACCGGCTCTTATCAGCGGCCGGGGCAGACTCGTGCTACAGATGGGACTCAGACGCAATTTTGACGTAAACTCTGCTCTTATCAGGAACAATAACACAGAAGAGAACGCCTCCAGCAGATACAGGACTGTGTGCCTCTGTGTGAGAGACAGGGACTACAGAGACTACAGGGACTACAGGGACTACAGGGACTACAGAGACTACAGGGACTACAGGGACTACAGGGACTACAGGAACTAGCCTCCAGCAGATACAGGACTGTGTGCCTCTGTGTGAGAGACTGGGACTACAGGGACTACAGGGACTACAGGGACTACAGGGACTACAGGAACTAGCCTCCAGCAGATACAGGACTGTGTGCCTCTGTGTGAGAGACAGGGACTACAGAGACTACAGGGACTACAGGGACTACAGGGTCTACAGGGACTACAGAGACTACAGAGACTACAGGGACTACAGGGACTACAGGGTCTACAGGGACTACAGGGTCTACAGGGACTACAGGGACTACAGGGACTACAGGGACTACAGGGTCTACAGGGACTACAGGGTCTACAGGGTCTACAGGGACTACAGGGACTACAGGGTCTACAGGGACTACAGAGACTACAGGGACTACAGGGACTACAGGGTCTACAGGGACTACAGGGTCTACAGGGACTACAGGGACTATAGAGACTACAGGGACTACAGGGACTACAGGGTCTACAGGGACTACAGGGTCTACAGAGACTACAGGGACTACAGGGACTACAGGGACTACAGGGTCTACAGGGACTACAGGGTCTACAGGGACTACAGGGACTACAGGGTCTACAGGGACTACAGAGACTACAGGGACTACAGGGACTACAGGGTCTACAGGGACTACAGGGTCTACAGGGTCTACAGGGACTACAGAGACTACAGGGACTACAGGGACTACAGGGTCTACAGGGACTACAGGGACTACAGGGACTACAGGGACTACAGGGTCTACAGGGACTACAGGGACTACAGGGACTACAGGGACTACAGGGACTACAGGGTCTACAGGGACTACAGGGTCTACAGGGACTACAGGGACTACAGGGACTACAGGAACTAGCCTCCAGCAGATACAGGACTGTGTGCCTCTGTGTGAGAGACTGGGACTACAGGGACTACAGGGTCTACAGGGACTACAGGGACTACAGGAACTAGCCTCCAGCAGATACAGGACTGTGTGCCTCTGTGTGAGAGACAGGGACTACAGAGACTACAGGGACTACAGGGACTACAGGGTCTACAGGGACTACAGGGTCTACAGGGACTACAGGAACTAGCCTCCAGCAGATACAGGACTGTGTGCCTCTGTGTGAGAGACAGGGACTACAGAGACTACAGGGACTACAGGGACTACAGGGTCTACAGGGACTACAGAGACTACAGAGACTACAGGGACTACAGGGACTACAGGGTCTACAGGGACTACAGGGTCTACAGGGACTACAGGGACTATAGAGACTACAGGGACTACAGGGACTACAGGGACTACAGGGTCTACAGGGACTACAGGGTCTACAGGGACTACAGGGACTATAGAGACTACAGGGACTACAGGGACTACAGGGTCTACAGGGACTACAGGGTCTACAGAGACTACAGGGACTACAGGGACTACAGGGACTACAGGGTCTACAGGGACTACAGGGTCTACAGGGACTACAGGGACTACAGGGTCTACAGGGACTACAGAGACTACAGGGACTACAGGGACTACAGGGTCTACAGGGACTACAGGGTCTACAG